ACCTTTCCATTTGTCCTAGTTATAATGTTCACGTTAGTGCATCCGTTTTTTATTTCCTCCCTTATTCGGTTTGCGTTGTCTAGCCCCCCTTCCACTACTAGTTGCAGATCCCCCTTTCCGGTTTTCCTAACTCTTTTGATACACACTCCTAGTTTGTTTACGTCCGTGTTATCTTTGACTCTCTTTAGGAGATTTGCATAGGTCTCCTCGTCCTCTCCTTTTACGATTAGCGTACTGTTTTCCTGTTTCCTTTCCCCCCTTATCATTTTTCCCGATTTTATGACCGGGACTCTACATGTTATATTTATGTCCGTTTCTCTGAACACACATTCCGCGATCTTTCTATATGCTGTCCTCTCCGAACCCTCCGCTGCTACCAGTATTAGATCCTTCCTACCTTGCTTCACCATGTGCTCCTTTATTTCCTTCATCATTTCGTAGATGCTTTCGAAGTCGTATTGTCCGTTTGTGATGTCGTGTGCTATAGTGTATATACATTTGGTTGACCTTTCCCTTTTTCCGTCCTTAGTTTCCACCTCCGTACAGAGTTTCATGAAGTTCATCTCCTCTTTATCCTTAATCATTTCCCAGGCTTCTTGGAACCTATCACGTAGTATCTGGCCTAATCCCTGGTCCTTATTCTCCGGATCTATTATCACAGCTAGATCCCTCCCCCTGTCGGCCCTAATTGGGAATTCCACAATTTCCTTTGTCCTCAGATAAGCCTCCTCCGGCCACATCCTGCTTAAGAGTTCATCCACATCCTGAAAACTTTCTATGTTTTTTATCGCCTCATCAATTCCTATTTCTTCACCTATGTTTACTTGTATCTCGACATTTCTCGACATGTCTTGCCTCTCCGTTTGTGTACCTATCTCCCTGGTTTCTTTTTTTAGGTTTCCCTTCGTCCACCTTTCGAGAGCTTCGTTAAGTCCATTTATATTCCTCTCTAGTTCGGTTGTGGCCTCCTTTATCTCTCTCTTAGTGTTAGCGTTTTGCAATACTATCGTCCTTATTTTCCTAGTTGCCTTCGTTACCTTACTGATCATTTTTTCCAGCCATTTCTCATCATCCCCCCCGGGTACTATTCCTGTCATCAAGCCCCTTGGGGATTTTTCCTCTTTCCTCTTCCTCTTTGCCTATTGGAATTCCCTCTTATCCGATTCTCCTTCATCCTCTGTTATATCGCAAACAGATTCCGCACCTGAGCACGCGTATCCTTCACTATCCTTTTCCGTTGTGCTTGTCCCCTGGGTATTTGTCTGTGTTCTCCACGTGTCCAAAGTCCCTCTTACAGGTGGGGGGGTCCTAGGTGTAGAGCTCCTTCTCCTAGCAATATCCTGTTCCATCCATTTTGAATCCATGTTCTCTTGCTCCTTGCTTCCTCTATCCTCCTTTCCTTGTTTTGTAGTTTTGTTTTCATTCATCATTCTATTCCCACGAGTTGGGCCGAAATACAAGTCCACCGGGGCAGTGCGCCCGTACCCCGGTAAGGCTACTTACTCCGGGAGGTCGCCCGGTATCCCGGAGGCTCCGTTTGAGACCAACTAAACGCATGGCCATCCACCCATCGGCACGGGTCGCGTGACACCTTGGGTTGCGGCCCATTTATTCCAGTTTTTTGTTTCAGGCGCCGGAAACTCGCCATAACCCTTCTCCGTTGGCTACGAGACGTACTTCACAGCACGCCGCGCATTACCAGGGACCACCACGAGGAGGTGGAGATAGGATTTGCCGGTTCGTCCACAAAGGACTGCGGGCTCAGCGTTTTATTGCACGGTAAGTATGGGCACCCTACCGCACACACTGAGACCCACTGGGTCAGCCCAGACCCAAAACCCGGCCATTTGGTCCCCACCCTACCCTACCCTACCCTACCATACCCCCCGGGTACAGGTTCTTCCCTTCCCCGGTAGTGTGAGGACTCCAAGGCGGGGTGTGCAAGCCTTGTTTACCCACTAAAACCACCTCGACCCTTCTTCTCGCTTACCAGCCATAGGAACCGCCGTCGCCCGGCATTGCATCTATGGTGGAAAGCCTATCTTATGTTGTCCTTTCGCATCTCATTCCGTCAATGGATCCTCTCTTTCGTCCTTTTCCTTAACTTTCATTACTTTTGTTATTGTCTCTATTGCTGCCTCCCAGAATTCTTTTTTCAATGCCATTTTTCTCGTTAAATTCTCTACTTTGACTTCACCTATTTTCATACTTAGTTCTTTTCGATCTTCCACGAATCTAGGGCACGCGAATAGAGTATGCTCTGCGTTGTCTGTGCCGGTGCAATATCTGCATATCTCTCTTGTCGACTTTCCAATTCTTTTTACGTATGACTGAAAACTTCCATGTCCCGTAAAAATTTGGGTGGCATAGAAGTTTAGCCTCCGGTGTTTACACTCCGCCCATTCTTTCACGTCAGGGATCAGTGTTTTTGTCCACTGACCGACCTCACTATTTTCTTCCCACTCCTTTTGCCATTTATCCAGTATCTCTGATCGAAGTTCCCCTTTTCGCGTATTGTCTTTTCCTATACAATTCTTATACAAAATCACCCTTTCTTCCACCATTAGATGTATGGGAATTACGCCTGTGATTACCTGCAGAGCTTTTGTTGAAGCGGTCCGATATGCGCTGGCGATTCTGAGCAGTTGTTTCCTTTGAACCTTCTCCAATAATTCCCTGTATTTCTTTACCTGGATTGCATCAGCCCATATCGGTGCTCCATATAGTAATACCGAGTGTACCACTGCCCCTAGCATCTCTCTCTTCTTGCTGCTAGCTCCCTGTATATTAGGCATTAGCCTGCTTAGCGCATTAGCCTTTGCTTCCGCTTTCTCACATGCGTACATGACGTGGTGTTTAAAGTTTCCTCCCGACCCGAACATTACTCCGAGATACTTGATGGCTGGCTGGCTTTTACTGGTAACACTGTTTTACCAAGCGCTATTTTTCTATTACTGAGATACGACCTTACTATATTGACGAGATACTTGGATATACCCTTGCTCCTCAGTTCTTTAATTATTAATTCCCAGGACGCCATGTTGAAAGCATTTTTTACATCTATTGTAATCAGAGCTATCCATTTCTCTTTACTGCTATTTAACGTTTGTATGACCTGGTCCATAGCTTGCAGAGTAGATTTGCCTTGCCTGAATCCATATTGGTCCGCAGATAACTTGCCGTTCTCTTCCAGTTCTCTTTCTAGTCTAGCTTTAATCATTGCTTCTATTAATTTGCAGGTGGTGTTCAGCAGGGATATGGGTCTAAACTTCCCGCTCTTTGGCTTAGGAATCAACACAACTCTTACTACTTTCCAGTCGTCGGGGAACCTTTGTTCGGTAAGTATTTTATTTGCGATTCCCAATAATAGCTTCGGACAGATTCGAAATGTCTCTTTTATCGCTTCAACAGGTATGCTGTCTGGTCCTGGAGCTTTACCTCCCTTCATCCTTTTAACCGCTTCCTCCAAATCCTTGGCGGAGAACAGTTCAAAGCTGGACTCTGTTGTAGCATGTCTACAATCGTCGGTGGTCCCTACCACAAAAAGCTTTGCTGCTATATCTAATTTTGTCCTTTGGTCTAGCTCTACCGGCGTTACTTTCAGCATCTTTCCTGTGACTATTTTGTAACCAACTCCCCAGATATCGGTTTGCACCTCGTTGCATACTTTTTGCCATTCGTTTATTTTAGCGTCCCTTATTAATTTCTTTAACAGCTTCTTCGTATTCTTATAGTTTTTTCGCACAGTATCTTTTTCCTCTGTTGGGGCATCGGGTTGAGCGGCTAATCTCGTTGCGATTCTTCTCTGTTTGTTGCATTCGTTTCTAATATTTTCGATGTCTGAATTCCACCAGTAAGGGACTGTCCTGCATTCGCGTTCTTTTCGTTTTAAACTATTCGTGTATGATTCCCTTATATACTCGACACCTTTATCGCCAATATTCTCTGCTGTACTAGTAGCCGTCCTCAACTCTAACCCTGCTTCGAATGCCTTCCAATCTACCGCGTATTGTCTTTTTTCGATGGACCCTTTACCCCCTATAGCTTTTACCTCAAAGTAGATGTATTGATGATCTGTTAGATTTTCATCCTCTAGAACCTCCCAATTCTGTATCTTCCCTGCCAGCCCCTGTGTAGCACACGTTATGTCGATGAAGGACTTTTGGTCTCTTCTAACAAATGTTGGCGAGTCTCCTGCATTCATTACTTTTATATCTAGCGCCGTTAGCCACTCTACTAGATAGTCTCCCCTTTTATCATCTTTCCTTGAGCCCCAATATCTCGATTTTGCATTTACGTCGCCCATAAGTAGGTAGTCTCTTCGTGTTGCTCTACACAGATCCATAATTTCATCAACCTTCTCTTTATATTTCTTTATATCTATATTCGGTGATATGTAAACGCAGATCAATTTAAACTTTTTACAATCTATAGCCAAGTAACCCTCTCCCTTAATTATCTCTCCGATTTCGATTTTCCTATTTCTAAACATAACCGCCACATCTATGTACCTGTCCTTTATCCAATTTCCTCCTTTGACTATACTCTTGTTCGGTTCGCTTACCATCAATACATCTACTTTTCGCTCCCCCATCGCTTTGTATACCATATCGTGCGCTGCTCTGCTTCTACCAAGATTTGTCTGTAGAACGCTTAGGGGTTTCATGTTAATGATTGTGTGCGTTAGATTAGAGACGTACGTCTCCCTCCGGAGGCATAGGAATACCCCGTTGCGACACTGTTTACACTTATCTGGCTTTTAAAAATATTCTTCTTTTTGTTTCTCGCCTCTTCAACTAGTGCCTTAAAATAAGGGCACTTTATTTGATCAGATCTGTGGCCTTTCTCTTTACATTTAATGCAGTACTGATCATTTGTGCAGGCCTTTGACCGATGCCCATCCTGGCCGCAGTTTAGACATGTTTCTGGCTTGTCACCAGTTAATGTGCAGTCCTTAGTTTTATGCCCGTGTTCCAGGCATCTATAACATCTCTCGATTTTTATCCGTTCTCTAACACTGACCCTGGTTGTCCACCCTAATTTAACTTTCTCCATCTTTAAAAGTTCGTTAGCTGCTTTACCTGGCATAACTACTATCGCCATGTTATTCTCCAACCTGGATTTTCTAATCGCTCTTACATCTATGCTATCCTTGTCTATGTTAAGGGTTTTCCATAGGTTTACTTTTATTTCTTCCTCGCCAACAGTTGGGTCTATTCCTAGAAGGTAAAGGGTCTTGCCGCTGCTTCTCGTTGTAATTTCTGTCGCATTGCAATTTTGTTTCAGCTCCTTTTCCAGAATTCTGGCTTTCTCGTTTCCTTCTTGAATTGTGATTTGCAGATCACCTTCCCCTATTTTACGAACTCCTTTAATATTTATGTTCATATTGTCGATGTTAATTTTTTCTTTAACCTGCTTTAGCAGTTCTGCGTACGTTCCCTCCTTGTTCCGTATTGTTACTGTGCTATATGTTTTGGCCGTCCTTGTTACATCGATAATTCTCGTTTCCGTTCGACTAGGTACCCTGCATTCAATGTCAACGGTAGATTTCCTAAAAACGCATTCGAGTACCTTTCTGCATACTCCTCTATCGATGTTTTCCGCTGCTGCAAATATCAGTTTGTTCCGTCCACTCCTGTCCATTTCCTTCTTTAACTTTACCAGGCATTCATATATCCTCGCGTACTTCGGCTCTTCCTCTGGGTCATAAGGGAGGGTATAAGTGTATTTATTGTGCTGTAATGTCTTGTCGTCACTTGTCTTCACTATAGTTGTTGTGGATACGTACTTTAGATCTTTATTGTTTTCGTCTAGTTGATCCCACGCCTCTGGATTATGATCCCTTAAAATTCTTCCTAGGCCTTTTTCCTTCTCCTTGGGGTTTATTAACGTCAGTAGATCGCAGTCCCTATCCGTATTCCTTATTGGAAATTCTACTATCTCCTTAGTCCTTGTGTACACCTCGTCTGGCCAATCATGTCCTAGTAGTTTCTCCATATCCTTGTAGTCTTCTATGTTTTCGATATCGTTTTCCAAGCTATTGTTGTTCATGTTGACCTGTATACCTATCTCACAGACTTCCTTTTTTCTGCGATCCACCCCAGGTATATCCTCCTCCTCGGTTTGCGTGCAAAATTCCTTAGTTTCTTTCAGCCTCGGTATATCCCAACCTTCCAGATCAAAGCTAAGCTTTTCAGCTTGATGTCCTAGTTCCCTTGTAGCGTTTCGTATGTCTCCTCTTGTATTGTTTGTTTTGTCAATTAAATCTTTTACCTTTTTTACTGCTTTTAGCACTTTGTGTATCGATTTTACCAGTTGTTGATCCTCAGTCCTATCTTTCTTCCGAGTTTCCCCCTCTTCCGTTGATGAATCCATGTCCAGCTTCTTCCTTTTTCCAGTAGTCCCTCTTTGTTTGGATCCTACTTCCTCGGTGTTAGGTTGGCTCATGGTAGTGGTTCCTTCAATTCCTCCTGGTGTAAAGAATTCTTCTCTCTCCTTATCACCTTTTTTCGTGTCTGTCGGAGTCCTCCTTAAAGAACTTTTCCTTATTGAAATATCCTGTTTCAACCATTCCTGCTCGCTCTGTGTTGAGCTCGAATATCTTCTACCCTCTTCGGATAAAGAACGACCTGAGGCAGTAGCATTACCGATATCCCCAACCTGCCCTACCGTTGGAGAATCTAGGCGGTCGCATGATGACGGTCGGTGGGAGCCCGCCCGATGACTCCCCTCTCCGACCGGTTCTGGGTTTCCGATTACCCTGTCCCGTAGCGATATTCCTTTCTTTTCAGCCATGTCCATACCGTAAATCCAGTTGGTTTTCTGTCAGGGTTTTCCTTCCCTTAGCCAATAGGTTCCCGTTATGGCGCCGGAAGCTCGCCTTCACCCTTCTCCGTTGGCTACGTGACGTACATCCATTGCACGCCACGCATTACCAGGGTCCACCACGAGGAGGTGGAGAAAGGATTTGCCGGTAAGTCTTTTCAAGGCTATCTCAACAGTCCTTTTTAGGACTATCTCGACAGTCCTTTTCAGGACTATCTCAACATCCCGGACATTGGCAATCCGGAACACCTCTGAGACCCAGGTACCAGCCATTCGGACCCCACCCCACCCTACCCTACCCTTTTTTTTTTTTTTTTTTTTTTTTTTTTTTTTTTTTTTTTTTTTTTTTTTTTTTTTTTTTTTTTTTTTTTTTTTTTTTTGTCTCTTGTATCTTCCATCCTGATCCCACGAGTTGGGCCGAAGTATTCCGTCCGCCGGGGCAGTGCGCCCGTACCCCGGTAAGGCCTATGGTCCCCTCCGGTCGGCCTGATCCTTCGGGCATCGCTCGCGACTCACCATGCCCCCTGAGCCATGCATCCCGTCGGCGCGATGGTGCTACACCTTAGGATTGGGGGGAACCCTACCCTACCCTACCCTTTTTTTTTTTTTTTTTTTTTTTTTTTTTTTTTTTTTTTTTTTTTGTCGGGTGGAAATGCTTTATGCACACCGGGTACAGGTTCCTCCCTTCCCCGGTAGTGTGAGGACTCCAAGGCGGGGTGTGCAAGCCTTGTTTACCCACTAAAACCACCTCTGGTTACCCTCTATGTAGTCCGGAACTACCATTTCTGGTTTTCGTCGGAGCTACATGGGTTGTACCTTATTCCGTGTTCCCTCTTTTTTCTCGTTCTCTCTCGTCCATCATTTTTTGTTTTATGACCTTAGTTACATATTTGCATATACCGTCGTAGGTTTCTTTGTTTTTTAGCATCGTTGGTATTACATTTTCGGGAGTCAGTTCTTTACCAACTATTTCTTGTATTTCTATTCTATTTCCATCGAAACGAACACATTTAAAAAAGGTGTGTTCAGCTGTGTCTTGCTCTTGGCAGTAGTAACAACTTTCATCGCTGGTTTTCCCGATCCTTTTGACGAATGTTTGGAATGAACCGTGGCCCGTTAGAAATTGCGTAATATAGTGGTCAATCCGTCTAAATTTGCAGTTCAGCCAGTCGTCGATTTGCGGTATTAGTCGTTTAGTCCACTGCGCCTTATGGACTAAGTTATTCCACCTTTCCTGTCATGTGTAGATGCTTAATTCCCTCGCTTCTTTTTTCCCAAATTGGCTGTCAGACTTGTTTCTATAAATGCTTTCTCTCTCGGTTATCTGCAGGTCGATTGGCACAATTCCGGTTATCACGCTTAAAGCATCCATAGATACCGTCCTGTAGGCGCTTGCTATTCTTAACAGTGCTCTTCGTTGCGTTCGTATTAGCATCTCCTTGTATCTTGCGAATTTCAACACATCTGCCCACACCGGCGCTCCATATAACAGGATGGAGTTTACCACCCCTACTAATACTTCTCTTTTCAGACTATCGGGTCCTCCAATATTCGGCATTAGTTTGGATAAAATTGTCTGCTTTTCGTTGGCTTTTCTACAGATTTGTCGTACATGTTCTCCAAATGAGATCTTATGCCCTAGATGTATTCCCAAGTATTTCAAAGACGTCTTCGGTATTATTTCCTGGGGTCCGATCTTAAACTTTATTAGTTCCCTTATTCTTCTCTGATTTGTTCCTTTAAGTATTACTGACTCGGACTTTTGATAGGACAATTTCAGATCGTGCATCTTTATCCAATCGATTATTCTCGCCGTTGCTTCGTTTGCCGCCATTACCAGTTCTCCCTTATCCTTTGCCTCTACCAATAAAGCGAGGTCATCGGCGAAAGCTATGGTAGTACAACCTTTTGGAAGTTCAACTCTTAACACGGAGTCATACAGGAGGTTCCAAAGGGTAGGTCCTAGGACTGACCCTTGGGGAACTCCAGATGTTGTTTCCAGTACGTGTCCTGCATCAATCCTAACTCTCCTTCCACGGAAATAATCCTCTATCAGTGCAACGATATATTCCTGTACTCCTTTGTCCTTTAACGCTTGTATTATTAAATTCCAATTTGCTGTATTAAAGGCATTTTGTACGTCGAACGTAATAAGGGCGACCCACTTGTACTCCGAAGTCTGCGTTGTATTTATGACCCATTTTATAGCATCAGTTGTTGACCTGCCTTTGCGGAAACCATATTGTCTATCTGAGAGTCCCGACGGTTCTATTTTCAATTCTATTCTTCCTTTAATTAAACCTTCCAATATTTTTCCTAGTACGTCCAATAAACATATCGGTCTGTAGGAGTTCAGCTGTTCGATCGGTTTTTGGGGTTTCAGAATTAGTACAAGTTAAATAATTTCCACTTGTCTGGGAATTTCTGACTGGTAAGCAGGTTGTTCATTACTTTCAGTACTATATCTGGTCTGCCAGCGATTATCAATTTTATAATTTCCGGTGATATTCCGTCGGGTCCCGGCGCCTTCTTCGGTTTTAGTTTTTGAGCTACGTCGATTAACCCTACCCTACCCTTTTTTTTTTTTTTTTTTTTTTTTTTTTTTTTTTTTTTTTTTTTTTTTTTTTTTTTTTTTTTTTTTTTTTTAACGAGGGGAAAAATGCGTTTACGCACACCCCCGCGGTTGGTCGGCGGGGGTAGTGTGGGGCTCTAAGATGCATAATACCCACTAAAAAACCCCTCCTCCAGCTCCCTATTTCTACCTTGCCATACTCTGTCTTTCTCTATTAAAGTGTTGCTTCCATATCTTCTCTTCTCTCGTCTGCTTCCTTGGTCTTCATAATGCTTCCCATTAGATATTTGATGCTTTCCCAGTTACCTTTACTTTCCACTAGAGTTTCCTTCAAGTTTTTCACGCTTAAAGGCCTTCCGATCTCCGACTCGACCTTCATCCTCTCTTTTGTCCAGCGATTACAGTGGAACAGGGTGTGCTCTGCGTCGTCTTGTTGTCGGGAGTATCGACATCGGTCATTTTCCGTTTTCCCAATCCTTTTTTTATAGGTCGCGAAAGATTCATGCCCTGACAAAAGTTGGGTCATGTAGAAGTCTAGAGATCTGTGTCGGCACTTGTACCAGTTTATTATATTTGGTATTACTTTCAGGGTCCATTGTGCAGTTTCTCTGTGCGTCTCCCACTCGCCTTGCCAAACTTGCAGTGTCTCCTCCCTAATTCTCTTTTTTCTAGCCTCGTTCGATTCGCCCTCAGAGATCTCGTAAAACATCGTTTCCCGCTCCCTGACTAGTAGATGCAGTGGAACTATGCCGTTTATTGCCTGCGCAGCGTGGTAAGAGACGGTTTTATAAGCGCTAATCACTCTTATTGACATTCTCCTATGTACGGACTCCATCTTTCGTTTATGCCTTTGAGTCGACATCGCTTTTGCCCATATCGGGGCCGCGTATAGTAGGGTTGATGTCACTACCCCGCTTAGAGTTTCTCGTTTTTTACTGCTGGGTCCTGTCACGTTATACATTAGCTTCCAGAGCGCGGAAGCCTTTTTTTCGGCTTTATCAGCAATTGCCCCAATATGAGGCCCAAATCTCATATAGCTATCGAAAAGTACTCCCAGATATTTTATGTGAGGTTTGGGTGTCAGCTCCTGTCCCTGTATCGAGAATTTTATATCCTGCCTTATCCTCTTCCATCCGTGTCCCCTTAATATGACCGCTTCGCTTTTTTCTGGCGCGATATTTAGCTTTTTTGCCTTAAGCCATTCCACTATTCTACCTATCGCATCGTTCGTGTTGTGTTGTAATTCTTCTTTGTTCTTCGCTTTAACCAAGATAGCCAGATCGTCTGCATAAGCGAGTGTTATTACTCCTTTTCTTTGGGCCATTCTCAACACGCCATCGTATAGGACATTCCATAAAATAGGTCCTAGTATTGACCCTTGTGGCACTCCCATGGACGTTTTTATCTCGTGCTCTTTGTCGATTGTGATGTATCGGTTCTGAAGGTAGCTGTCTATGATATTGACTAGGTATTTGTCAATTCCCTTTTGGACCAATTCATTTATAATAATGTCCCAACTAGCCGTGTTGAAGGCGTTTCGTATATCCAGGGTTACCAGGACCAGCCATCTAGTGTTTTTATTCTCTGCTTCCCTTCTGACAGTCTCTGTTGCGGACAATGTCGATCTTCCTTTCCTAAAACCATGCTGATTTTCCGAGATTCCCTCTACCCTGTCCAGCTCCTGTTCTAATCTTCCTTTTATTAGATTCTCATAGACCTTGCTAAACGTGTTCAATAGACAAATCGGCCTATATGTCTCTTCCACTTTTCCCTTAGGTATGAGAACTAATTTGGCTCTCTTCCAGCAGCTAGGGAAGTTTTGTCCTCTCAGCAGCGAGTTAAACATATCGAGAATATTTTGTCCTATGTAGTTTGTTGCTTGTTTTACGCTGTCCACAGAGATTCCGTCGGGACCTGGGGCTTTACCATTTTTCAATTTTGTTACGGCTTGTTTTAGTTCCTCTTCGGTAAACATGTCTACATCGGCAGTTTTTACTGCTGCGTATGTTCTGCATTCCTGGCTGCTTGGAAAGAGTTCTTCAGCTATTTT